TGCATGTCACACAATAATCCGACAGAGAACAGTGAGCCCAACCACTAGAAATAGAGTGACTAATAGATCAGAGTGGAAACAGGTGTCCCCACAAAGCAGCACACACGCTGATTGTGATGACAAACAGGTGGAGATGAGAGCTAGAATGAGCATGGGTGTGCCTGAGTGTGTGTGTGTGCATGATAGAGTATGTATGTGTGTGTGTATATATCTATGTGTGTGAGAGAGAGAAACAGAGAAGCAAACCCAGCTCATGACAGAGATGCTCATCTGACACATGTATGCATTGACCAACAATTAAAAATAGCTCAATGTTTAATGATATGGAAATAAAATGAATAATATATTGTTATACAATATGCTATTCTATAAATATCTGCAATATAAATAGATATTCTATAATGTGTATATATACACATAAATATTGTGTAATTAAATCAAATATAATTTATTAGTTATTAACAGCCATAAACTGTATAAATAATATTAATAATTAATATTATAATTAGACAGGATCTAGGTGCAGTAATGTTTATTTGCAACTAAACCAAAAATAACAAAGAACTCAAAGGTTAGTCAGCAGTCTTAGGTAACACAACATTAGGAACAACCACATTACCAATGACAATAACGCACAAACTGCGGGCTAGATATACACAAACTAACGAGGGGTAAAACAAGACAGGTGTGACTAAATGAACCAATGAGTAACCATGGTAACTGATAAATACAGACAAAGGAAACTGATCTAGAAACGGTGCAAACTAACAGGATAACTCAAACCATGAATGACAGAGACAAACCAACTCAAAGTACTACAGAATCAAGTATAGTGCGTATAGTCATGTATAGTGTGAGCAGTCAAGTTGCAACTCGACGATTGATGTGAGCACATACATCCTGAGCTTTGTCTTTACATCGCATGCGATTTATTTGTACAGTGAGAGTTGGTCTTTAACAAAAACATTGCTGAAATCGCAGCGTGTATGCCCCGCTTAACCCTGACATTATCCATATTATATACTGTAGTATTATTAACATCAATATTAACATAAAAAATGTAAATAATTATAATATGTA